GGGAAGGTGGCAGCAGGAAGGGAGAGGTCACGGCGGAGGGCGGAGGTTAAAGGGCGGGTCCCGGGAGGAAAGAAGGGAGCGGACTGGGGGCGAAGGTTGGCGTGGAGGACAGGTGGGTACCAAGATGCTGCAGGCGCGGCCGCGGTCGGGGAAGAAGGAGAAGCAGGCGTGGAAATCGGAGCGCTCCAAAAGCAAGCAGTCATTGTCACAGCCCCAGCGGGGCGGGGGATGACCGCTCGCAGCCCACGGGCCTCCACTGTGCCACCCCACGGCCGCTCTCCCTCCGACCCGATCCCGACCCAGCCGCGGCCCCAGGAGGCCCGATTCCCCGCCTCAGCGCCCGCCTGGCCGCCGCCCTGACGCGCCGCGCTTACCTCAGCCACGGCTGCCTCCCGTTCGGCCCCGCGCTCGGTCACCGGCTCATGCCGCGGGGCGCGGGGCACCTCTGCCCGGGTCTGATCGCGCCGAATCGCCAGCCGCCACCGCCAGGACCTAGTCCAGGGGAGCCAGCAGCCGGCGCCAGGCAGGCGACCGGGCTCCGGGGCGTCTGACACCAAGCGCACTGCGCATGCGGGAGCGGCCGGGGCCGCGCCCCCTGCTGGACAGGAGGAGTCAGGGCACCGCTGCAGTGTTTTCCCAGGCAGGCGCGCGAAGCTCGAGCTCCGCAGTGAAATAGCCTCATTCATAAAGAATCCGCAAACCCAAAGGAGACACCACACGTCGCTTATAAAACTAACAAATATGTAGACGTTTTATTATAATCAGTGCTGGTGAGCGTACAACATTCCTGGAGGGCAATTTGGTACTATCCATCAAATGGAAAATGCTGGTACCCTTCGTTCCAACAAGCTCTCCGTATAGTTTGTTCTGTGGACATTCTCAACAATATTTGTCAAAAATTTCCATGGCAGCATTCTTTCTAATCATAGGCAAATGCTAAATACAATCGAAATAAATTATGGAATTTGATTCGACTAGAATAATGTGAGAGAGTGCAATATATACGGGTAAGGAAATATCTCCAAGACATAAACAGCAGGCAAGTACGATCACTTTTAGGTAAAATATGCATATGCAAAAAAAAGAGGGAGAAATATATAAAGTAGGTGCTTATACTTAGGCATGTGTATAACTTTTTTTCTGGAAAGAATGCAAGAAGAAATGAACAGCTTTAGGTGGATTTGTCGAGGCAGAAATGGAAGCATTTATGGCCATGCAAGGTGGCTCACCCCTGTAATCTCAGAATTTGGGGAGGCCTAAACAGGAAGATCGCTTGAGCCCAAGAGTTTGAGTTCAGCCTGGGCAGCAGAGCAAGACCCTGTCTCCACAAAAACTAAAAAATTGGCCAGGCATCGTAGAACCTGCTTTTAGTCCTAACCACTCAGGAGGCAGAGGCAGGAGGATTGCTTGAGCGGAGGAGGTCAAGGCTGCAGTGAGGTGTAGTCGTGCCACTGCACTCCAACCTGGGCGACAGAACAAGACCCTGTCCCGCTGCAAACAAAGACAGCATTTTTGTGTTGTATCTTTCTGTATTGTTTACATGATTTAGTCCTATACGTGCACAGTAAAACCGCGGTCATAAAGCAGGAAGTGAAGTCTAAAACATTACATTTAAATTTAAATTCAGTGTAATGTCGTTGAGAGGTGAATGAAATGACCCCTGGACCTGGGTCTGGCTGCAGGATCCAAATCCTTTTTGGTCCCAGATGTACTTTGGCGCCATCTGGTGGAAGTTTTCACTGACAGCTTAAATATTCATGGGAATAATTCTGAGACTAGATAATAACTGAGGCTTCCGGCAGCAAGCATGATTCCAGGGATATGTTTGTGAATTTAATACCTGCTTATCGCAGATCTGGGGAGATCTGGATGAGAGCATTCTGGGAAAAAGACATTCATGTTCTGCTTCTCCGCATCCAAAGGAACATAACTCTGCTCTCCAAATCCAAATCCCCCTTGCAAAAGATACAAAATTTAACACACATCCACCCCATTTGAGAACTGGACGGGTGGAGAGCAGTGACAATCACCCGTGGAAAGGTATCCAAATTCCTCTTATCCCAGGGAATATTGTTTTTACTTTTTAAAGTAAGTCAACAGTAGCTATCTGGGCTGGGAGATTGTGGCCTCTTTTTTCTTCTCCATATTTATCTGTATTTTAAAACACATATGCTTTTAACTATGTGAGGCATAGCCTTTGAGGAACGCTGCTTATCTTAGTTACTTTCTATAACCTTAAACTTGCCTAATGCCTGGGATATAGTAATTGCTCAGTAATTATTTGTTGGAGAAAGGATGCCTAGACACTGAGAGGAGCTACCTAGAAATAAGACAATAAGATTATTCAAAGCAGAAGGTAAAAAGTGGCATAGGAGAATATAAACAAAATGCCACAGAATTCAAAAAAGAAAGAGGTCACATCCAATTGGAAAGATTTCAATCAACAGTTGATAACTTTGTTAATCCTGGAGGATACTTACAATTTTGACAAGCAGAGAGGTGAAAAGGGCATTCCAGTTAGGGAAAGAAAGTTATGAGCATGGGTTAAAGAAGGAAAAGCAGCTGGGCAGAGTGGCTCACACCTGTAATCCCAGCACTTTGGGAGGCTGAGGCAGGAGGATTGAGACCACAAGTTCGAGACCAGCCTTGGCAACAAAGTGAGACCCTCCCCCCATCTCTGCAAAAAAAAAAAAAAAAAAAAAAAAAAAAAAAATCAATAAATAAAAATAAAGAAGGAAAAGCGATCAGAAAGAGCAAGTGTTTTTCAATCTAGTGTGATTTACATAGTGTGGCTATATTTCTAGGCATAGAAACCATGCAAGTAATGGACATGGGAAAATATAGAAGCTGTGAAATTAGAAGCTACGTGATGCAAAAGCATCCAAGGATGACTTCAGAGAGGAGCAGGAAATAAATTATAAGCCAGGACCTGAAAGTTTCATAGTTAACAAAAGTCCAAATTTTATCTTCTTTATCCTCTACCTGAACATAAGGACCTCAGAACACTGAGCTCTTACTACTTTACTTTCATCTCATGTGGTATTGTTGATGGGTCTATTAGTTACACCTAGAGTTTTTTTGTTTTGTTTTGTTTTGAAATAGAGTCTCGCTCTGTTGCCCAAGATGGAGTGCAATGCTGCGATCTCAGCTCCCTGCAAACCCCTTCTCCGGGTTCAAACAATTCTCCTGCCTCAGCTTCCTGAATAGCTGGGATTACAGGCATGAGCCACCATGCCCGACTTGACAGAAGAAGACAGATCTGGGCTTCTGGGAAGGCGGAAAAGCAACTTAGTAGTTGGTGGCTGAAGGAGGAGACGCTGTAAAAAGATACTGCACTACTGACTTTGAAGGTACAGGGCAAAGCAAAGATTACACAGATACCCCCTTACCCAGCGAGTCGGGAAATGTGAAAGTCAGGGTTAGAAAGGGAATGGCTTTCATGGAAAATAGCGTCATCAGGGGAATGTGAGTTTCCAGTTAGGAGGAATAGCTGGTGTCGGGCTGAATCCCGCATTTAGCACTTCCTCTAAATACAGTTGGTTCTTGAACAACACAGGTTTAAACTTTGCAGGTCCACTTCCAGGAAGACGTTTTTCTATAAAAGTTACACCAGTGTGCCTGCTTCTCCAGCTTCCCTTTCCACCTCTTCTACCTATCCTGCCTCTTCCACTCCTGAGACAGCGAGACCAATCCCCCTTCCTTCTCCTCCTTAGCCTACTTAACATGAAGCTGAAGAGGATGAAGATTGTTATGATGATTTACTTCCACTTAATGAACAGTAACTATATTTTTCTTCCTCTTGATTTTCTTAATAACATTTTCTGTTGCTTACTTTATCATAAGAATACAGTATTTAATATACATAACATATAAAATACATTTAATAGACTATTTACATTATCAGCAAGGCTTCCAGTCAGCAGCACGCCATTAGTAGTTAAGTTTTGAGGGAGTCAAAAGTCATGAACAATTTTTCAACTGCTTAGGGGATTAGCACCCCAACTCCCATATTATTCAAGAGTAATAGAGGTATATAAGAATGGAAAAAGGTGGCCAGGCATGGTGGCTCATGCCTGTAATCTCAGCACTTTGGGAGGCCGAGGCAGGCAGATCACCTGAGGTCAGGAGTTCAAGACCAGCCTGGCCAACATGGTGAAACCCTGTCTTTAAAAAAAAAAAAAAGAAAAAGAAATGGAAAAAGGCATATTCCTTTTTTAAGTTATATTTTAAGTTCTGGGGTACATATGCAGAACGTGCAGGTTTGTGACATAGGTATACACGTGCCAAGGTGGTTTGCTGCATCCATCACCCCATCATCTACATTAGGTATTTCTCCTAATGCTATCCCTCCCCTAGCCCCCAACCCCGACAGGCCCCAGTGTGTGATGTTCTCCTCCCTGTGTTCATGTGTTATCATTGTTTAATACCCACTCACGAGTGAGAACATCTGGTGTTTGGTTTTCTGTTTTTGTGTCAGTTACCTGAGGATGATGGTTTCCAGCTTCAACCATGTCTCTGCAAAGGACATGAACTCATCCACAAAAGGCATATGAAGAAAAGGGCTTCATAATATAATTGATCCGTGGGATCTTAGGTTGGCTCAGCTTAAAATAGCAGTGGCAGGCAGGATGGCAGGCTAGAAAACACCTAACTGGGTGAAATATAAGGAATACCTTCTCAAGTGAATAGCTGAGTTCACATACACAAAAAGTAAGAAAGTGTCCAAAGTCAAAAATGAAGCTGAAATAGTAAAAATGACACTGAAGCTGCAGCTATTTTGCGTATACAAGGTATGGAGCTGATACAAAGAAACCCATAAAGCTGGGTCTTAAAGAACTACACCCAAAAGGGAATACTGGAAACATCTGCTCAACATCCACCAAAGAAACTTACCTGTCTTGTCCAGGGAGTGGAAAAAAGAAAAGAGTCTCACTGATGATCTTTACTACTCATGTCTCAGTCAGTTCGGGCTGCTGTGACAAAAAATACCAGAGACTGGGTGGCTTAAACAACAGAAATTTATTTCTCCCAGTTCTAGAGGCTGGGAAGTCCAAGATCAAGGTGCTGGCCAATTTGGTTCCTGATGAAAGCTCTTTTCCTTGTTTCCAGATGGTTACCTTCTTGCTGTATTCTCATATGGTGAAGAAAAAGACCTTTCTGTGTCTCTTCTTGTCAGGGCACTAATCTCACTCATGAGGATTCCATCTTCAAGACCTAGTTATATCCCAAAGGCCCCACCTCCAAATATCATCACACTGGGGATTAGGACTTCAGCATATGAATGAAGTGTGTGTGTGGTGGAGGGGATGGACATTCAGTTCATAGCAATCAAGCTTTATGACAATCTGGGGTTTGAATTTATACTACCAGCATGGTCTAGGAAGCTCCAGGCCAAGAGAGTAACATAAAGTATTCCCAGGTTGGTAGTGCTCGAAGACACCCACAGAAGGAAACAAATCCCCTCTGGAGGCCCATATCTCCAACACAAGCTGCCTAGGATTCTGACAAATGTGAACTCGCAATTCAGAACTACAAAGCATGTGAGGAAGCAAACCACTATGAGCAAGAGTCAGCAGAAGTCACAAACAGCAGCAATTTAACCCTCAAGAATCATATATAATTGAATTATGATATATAAATATAAAATGAGTATGCTCATAGCACTCAAAGACTTAAATAGAAAACATTTCAAAGAAATGAGATGTTACATTTTTAAAAGACTAAAGAGACTGAAAATGAACTAAATATAAACATCAAAATTGAAAACTCAATGCATAAGTCAAATAGTAGGTTAGAAACAACAGTAGATCTGAAAGGCAGGAAACAAAGGAATTAAATATGGGAAAGAGAAGTTAAGAGAGGGAGATGATAGAAGAAGAAAACATCACATATCTAAAAGGAGAGGATAGAGAAAATGAGGGGAAGGTAATATCCAAGGAGATCACAGCTAAGAATTTTCCAAAATTGAGCAGAGATGATCACCTGTAATGAACTAATAATGAGACTAACTGCAGACTTCTCAACAAAAACCTAAAGCCATAAAATTGTGGGAGTAAAGCGGAGAGGAAAACAGTGAATGAGGCATAATCGTATACCCAGTAAAACCACCTCTGAAGAATAACAGGAAAGTAAAGATATCTTAGACAAACACAAATAGAAAAAATTCCATCAATAGATGCTTCCTAAAGGAACTTCTTAAGAATGTATTTCAGGAAGAAAAAAAATTAAAACCAGAAGGAAGTACTGCAATGAAGTTGGGCTAGGAAACAGTGAAATTGATAAGCCTGTGGGTAAATCAAAACAAATACTGACTGTATAAAACTAGAAAAATAATTTACAAGTTTAAAAACTAGGGCCCAGGACAGTGGCTCATGCCTGCAATCCCAGCACTTTTGGGCGGCCGAGGCAGGCGGATCATCTGAGGTCAGGAGTTTGAGACCAGCCTGGCCTATGTGGTGAAACCTCGTCTCTACTAAAAATACAAAAAATTATCCAGGTGTGGTAGCTCATGTCTGTAATCCTAGCTACTCAGGAGGCTGAGGCAGGAGAACTGCTTGACCCTCGGAGGCAGAGGTTGCAGGGAGCTGAGACTGCACCATTGCACGCCAGCCTGGGTGACAAAGCGAAACTCCATTTCAAAAATTAAAAAAAAAAAACTAGGTGAAACTAATAGACCAGTCAACAATGTCACATGAGATGAAAGCAAAGGAGTAAGAGCTCAATGTTCTGCGATCATTTCACGTTCAGGGAGAGAATAAAGAAGATACAATTTAGACTTTATTAACTATGAATGTTGATAATTTAAAGGTATCTGACAAAGAACTCATTTCTAGAATATGTAAAGAACTCCTACACTTCAATAAGAAAAAGGCAATTTTTTAAATGAGCAAAATTCTTAAACAAACACCACATAAAAGAATATATGTAAAAGGCCAATACACATATGAAGACCTGTTCAATATCATTAGCAACAGGAAATGTAAACCACATGGAAAAGAGGTATCTCCAATAAGGATATGCAAATGGCCAAGAAGCATATGAAAAGATGTTAAACATCACTATCGGAGAAATGCAAATTAAAACCACAATGAGATATTGTCTCATATCCAAAGATAAGGAAAACATAAGGCCAGCAAGGTGGCTCATGCCTGTAATCCCAGCACTTTGGGAGGCCGAGGTGGACAGATCACCTAAGGTCAAGAGTTCAAGAGTAGCCTGGCCAACATGGTGAAACCCTGTCTCTACAAAAATATAAAAATTAGGTGAGGTGGTGCGTGCCTGTAATCCCAGCTACTTGGGAGGCTGAGGCAAGAGAATCACTTGAGCCTGGGAGGCAGAGGTTGCAGTGAGCCAAGATAATGCCACTGCACTCCATACTGGGCAACAGAGCAAGACTCCATCTTAAAACACACCACCAACAACAAAAACATAAACAAGTGCTGGTGATAACATGGGAAAACTGGAGCCCTGTGCACTGCTGACAAGACTGCAAAATAGGGCAACTGCTATAAAAAACAGTATGATGGTTCCTCAATAAAATTAAGAATAGAATGACCATATGATCCAACAATTCTAGTTCTGGGTATATACCCAAAAGCACTGAAAGCAGGGTCTTCAAGAGATAACTACACACCCATGTTCACAGCAGTGTAAGAGTTAAAGAAAGAAGAAAGAAACGTGAAAAGCAGCTCAACAGTCAACGATAGATTTATTTTGGAGAATAAACCTGAGAGGGACTTCTGGGCTGATTTTGGTCAGGACCACGTTCTCTTACAGGCTAAGATTATTTAAGGGGTCAGGGTGAGACTGCTTATCACAGGCTTGGAATGTTTATGTGTGGGGAAGAAGTTTACAGTGGGGTTGGAATGTCTCTGGTCAGAGGGGAGGTTATCTTGGTGCTGACATCTCCCTGGCTGGAGAGGGTGCTATCTCAGGGCTGGCATGTTTCTGGTCGTGGGGAGGGGTCTGGAATGTTTCTGGTCAGAGATGTTATCTGTGGTATCTGGTCTTGCTGACCTTAGCCATTAGACTGACACCCTTTGGATTTGGGCAGTTTTTGATCAAGTTGAACTTTAAAATGACAGTGCTTTTCCAAGATGGCAATGCTCCTGCTCTGCCAGCAGCACTGTGCACAATAGCCAAGAGGAGAAAGCAACTTAATGACCACGAATAGGTGAACAGATAAATAAAACAATGGTATACACTTACAATGGAACATTATTCAGCCTTAACAAGGAAAGATAGCCTGTCACATGCTACAACATGAATGAGCCATAAGGACATTATGTGAAGTGAAATAAGCTATTCACAAAAGGACCAATATTGTGTGACTCCATTTATAGGGGTTATCTAAAGTAGTCATATTCATAGCAAAAGAAAGTAGATCAGTGTTTACCAAGAGCTGAGAGGAAGAGTGGGTTAACTGGTATAGAGATTCAGTTTTGCAGGCTGAAAAATTCCTGGAGAGCTGGAACTGTTTAACCACAATGGGAATGTACTTAACATTACTTTAACATTACTGAAGTGTACACTTAAAAATGGTTAAAATGGTAAATGTTATATTATGTGGTTTTTGTACCAGAACAGAAGACTACAATGAGATGCTTTTTTTTTTTTTTTTTTTTTTTTTTGAGATAGAGTCTTGCTCTGTTGCCCAGTCTGGAGTGCAGTGGCTTGATCTCAGCTCACTGCTCCTGGGTTCAAATGATTCCGCCTCCTGGGTTCAGATGATTCTCTGCCTCAGCCTCCTGAGTAGATGGGATTACACATGCCCACCACCATGCCTGGCTAATTTTTATATTTTTAATAGACACAGCATTTCAGCATTTTGGCCAGGCTGGTCTTGAACTCCTGACCTCAGGTGATCCACCCACCTCAGCCTCCCAAAGTGCTGGGATTACAGGCAAAGCAACCATGTCCAGCCTACAATGAGATACTTCTACATATGTTTTTTACCTGATAATACCTAAGAGCTGGCAAGGATGTGGAGCTAGTAGAATTTTTATACACTTCTATACATCAGTAGAATCATATTAGGAAACTGTTTGGCAGTATTTACTAAAGCTGAGCTTACCTCATTATCTAACAATTCTATCCACAGGCATATATCGAAAGGAAATGTGTATATATGTGTTCCAAAAAGTCATATTCAAAAATGTCCAGCAGCATTATTCATAATAGTGAAAAGCTATAAAACATGGACATTCTACTTAAAAACATAACCAAGACAGCAATATCTGCCTTGTGATGAAGTCGGGATTACATGAGAGTGCAAATGGAAAAGCCCTTGTAGTCATTTACAGTGAGACAGACCCTCCCCACCCCACCACCACAGACACTGAAAACAAATAACAACGCTGGGTTCAAAACACATTTTTCGGGCTGGGCGCAGTGGCTCATTCCTGTAATCCCAGCGCTTTGGGAGACTCAGGCGGGCAGATCATCTGAGGTCAGGAGTTCATGACCAGCCTGGCCAACATAGTGAAAATACAAAAAAAAATACAAAAATACAAAAACAAATACATTCTCTACTAAAAATACAAAAATAAATAAATAAATAAATTAGCCGGACACCATGGCAGGTGTCTGTAGTCCCAGCTACTCGGGAGGCTGGGGCTAGAGAATTGCTTGAACCCAGGAGGTGGGACTTGCAGTGAGCCAGCATCCCGCCATTGCACTCCAGCGTGGGCAACGAGAGCAAAACTCCATCTCAAAACAAAAACAAAAACAATTTTCACAAGCACATGCATTAGCTGGAACAAAACAAAGGAATGATCAGGCATGGGGCTGAGTGACAACTATGATGCTGGCTTTCATCTTGAGGCATCTCTCTTGACCAAAGACAAGAAATCTACTAGGAAACTGTTCTCCAATAAAGCCAGGACTCCAAAAAGCTGACTCCACAGAATAAGCTAACCCAGAATCACATCCTTTCCTCCCTCTTCAAAAGACTGCAAGGAAAGCTGTCTCAAACCTTAGTGTTAATGGAGGGAGGTTCACCCGAGAAGTTGTAACCAAAAGCTGGCTCTTGCCAGACTAGATTTCCAGACCAAATTCACAGCAGCTGATAGCAAAAAAAAAAAAAAAAAAAGTGCTAGCATTTTCTCTAAAGACTGGCATTGCCTCTAGTTGCCTGGTAGAAATAAACACAAATACTCTCTTGAGGAATCTGTTTTCATCTAAGACTTGAAAGAATTCCAACAAATAAATTTCCCCCACAAAATGAACAACTCACCTTTAAAAAATCACTAAACCCACAAAGAATCAAGGCATGAGACACAATAGCAGAAACCAACCAGCAAAAATTTCAGACATTGGAATACTGGAAATAGATAGATACATACATACATATGTAGAAAGATGCATAGAGATATATAAAAATAATTGGCCAAGCACAGCGGCCCACATCTGTTATCCCAGCACTTGGGGAGGCCGAGGCAGGTGGATCACTTGAGGAAGCCAGGAATTCGAGATCAGCCTGGCCAATATGGCAAAATCCCATCTCTCAAAAATTAGCCAGGTGTGTGGTGCACACTGTAATCCTACATACTCAGGAGGCTGAGACAGCAGAATCGCCTGAGCCTGGGAGGCAGAGGTTGTACTGACCTGAGAGAGAGAGAGAGAGAGAGAGAGAGAGAGAGAGAGAGAGAGAGAGAGAGAGAGAGAGAGAGAGAGAGAGGAAGGAAGGAGAGAGAAACAAGAAGTGTTGGCTTTTCCAAGCAGGAGTGTCAGCACCTGGGAAGGGTCCACAGCGCACAGCTCTGTGGGTGGCTCTGGAAGCTCATTTAGCCGTAAATTAAAGCACCCCTAAAAATGGGGTAGGTGGCCCTCATCTGCATCCCTATAGTAGAAAAGCCAGCCTTGGTTAGCTTAGCCTCACAGCAGCCCCAGTTCAGGGTTCCAGCCCCAAATCTTCCCCTCACGACCATCACTAGGTCACTCTGCTTTGGGGACATCAGTGAAAGCAGCTCTTCAAAGGCAGAGGGAAAAGGAGCTTCCTGGAGATTGAGGGACCGCTTCGGCTCCCATAAAGACGCATCTCCTGACTTCTACCGTGGAGTCCTGTTCCCCTCGTCCCAAGCAGAGGACGGTCCCTGGATACTGGGGGCTGTGAGCGCAACTGTCCCAAGCGTGGGAAGAACAATCTGAACAAACAACATTCATTCCATTCTCTTTGGAGTTTGGAAGTGATCACTTGTTTTATTTTTCTGCAAACTCCTGTGTGTGCTGTTCCTTTGACTTGTTTCCTTGGCGACAAAGAAAGAGGAATGACGGTGCTATCGGAAAGAAAGTACAGGTGGTTTGTTTTCTCTTTACATCCTCAGGGGGGCTGAGGCTCTGGTTAGAAGCAGTCACGACTCCTCTGTTCTAAATAACTCACAATGGAGACATCCAGACTCTCCTAGTTCTGTTTAATCGGAGAGGGAGGGCCCGGGCTGAAGCACAGCTTGAGGAGTTCTGCACTGCTACAGTGAAAGGCAGAAAACAGTTCTTCAGGCACAAAGCCAACTTAGATACCTTCCTGGCAAATGGCACCTCCACAGTTGGTCTTCTGCAGTCCTGGAACGCCCCAGGTCCACAGTGGCTGCTGGGCCCTCTGGCCACGAGGCAATGGCCAGCTCACCTGCACTGGTCACTTGGCTTCTGGGTCTGAGAGGGATGGGGGTCTTCTGCCACTTGGGATTTGCCTGTAAGCACCTGCCGGACCCTCTGCATCCCTGGGAAGGGGAAACGAGGAGCCAGCTGGCACTGATGTCCTGGTGGGTGGGGACAAACAGCAGAGGCCAGAGTGAAGGCTTCAGTTAGGACTGGGCTGGGAAGGTGGGCTGCTTACCGAGGCGAAGTCGGTGGGCCTGGTCCGAGAAGACAAAGCGGAACCAACCAGGCTCTTTACACTCGAAGGCCTTGCCAAAGGACAGCAGCACCTTGTTGTCCAGAAAGCGGCGCCAGAGCAGCATTTCCTCCTCAAAGGTGCCCTTGGGCAGGTACTGAGACGGGGAAGGTACTCAGGACATAGCTGAGCCCCCTCACCTGCTGGAGGGACGCCCAGAACGCCCTCCCAGCCTGCACCTGCAGTGGCATTACCTTTCTCAAGTCCACCCAGATGAAGAAGCCGGCCCCACGACTCAGGAAGGGGATCCCCAAAGCCCTGAGCTCTTCTGAGACATAGGTGTGGGCAGCCTTGAGCCGGGCATGGTTTTCCGGCAGGTACACCTGGTTGATCCAGTCTGTTTGGGTGAAAGAGAGGCCAAAAGATTAATCTCCCATCAATCCTCTACTGGGTCCCGCTAGGCTAGATGCTGAAAAGAAAAAGGTCACAAGTGCCAGGATGCTGTGAGTCCCTCCTCTAGCTGGTTGCTGTGGTGGGGAGGATTATGGAAGGGGAGGGAAAAAAAGGATGGAAATTCAGTGTTCAGTGTAAAGTACCTTAAACCCAGATACTCAGCCCTGACAGCTCTGGGTCCCACATCCCCTTCAGGAGTCCAGAGCACAAAGTCCCCCAGGATAAAGAATCGAACCAAAGATTGATCTAGTTCTAAAGTTCTAGAGTGATGCTTTGTAGTCCCACAGACCAAAGTTCAGTTCCCAGTGTGGCCACTGACAAGAGGTGTCTCCCTGGGCACCTTCGCCTCTCTGATCTCCATTGTTTCTACTGACTTTTTGTTGTTGCCATACAGTTCTATGCATGATAGTACATATATACATTTATGTAACCACCAGCACAGTCAGGATTCTGAGCAGCTCCACTAACCTAAAGAATACCCTGATGCCATTCACAGTCACACCAGCCCCTTCCCTGCAAGCACTGATCTAATCACCATCACTACAGTTTTGCTTTTTCCAGAATGTCAAGGACTTGGAATTATACAGCATGAAATCTTTTGAGGCTACCTGCTTTCACTCTGCAGGATTCCTTTGAAATCAGCCCATGTTGCTATGGATTTTACTGCAGAGTAGTATTCCACTGAGTGGAGGGGCCATGGTTTATGCATCCCCATATCTGTGGAAGGACAGCTAGGTTGCTTCCAGATATGGGTGATTATGAATAAAGAAGCAGTTATGGGTGATTATGAATGAAGCAGAGGTTATTGTGTCACCATCAGTGTCAATATCTAGGAGGATTGTGGAATCACTTGGCAAGTGTGTGTTGAACTTTACAAGAGATGATGAATTGTTTTCCAAAGTGGCTGAACTACTTACACTCCTACCAGCAATGTATGAGAATTCCAGCTGCTCCTTGTCTTTGTCAACATTTGATAGTCATTATTTTTATAACTTTTAGCTACTGTAGTGAGTGGGGTAGTATCTGGTCCTCATTTCCCTCATTTGTAAAATAATGGGGAAAATACCGGAATTCTTGCTTCCCAGGATTCTGGAGAGAATGAGATGATACAGCAGGTGCATTTGCTAGGCTTGGTAAACGGTGGCATTTACCTTTGCTATTTAAAGTCATTGTCTGAATCTAGGAACAGAGTAGATTCACAGCGAGAGAGATACTTCCATGATAAAAATTTTTCCTTAGAAGCTTCTGCTCCATTTTTGTTGTTATTTTAAAGACAGGGCCTCACTGTTGCCTGAGCTGGAGTGCAGTGGCATGATGAAAGCTCATGGTAGCCTCGACCTCATGGGCTCAAGTGATCCTCCCACCTCAGCCTCCCAAAGTGCTGAAATTACAGGCAAGAGCCACCATGCTCAACCCTGCTCTGTTTTTTAAGTGCTCATGGCTAATCATAAGGAGTTCACATTAATCAAGTGCCTATGATATACCTATTCTAATTGAATTACAAATCACACCAACCTGTTACAAGACAGGTACCACTATGATCCCTGTTTTACAGATGAGGAAACTGAGGCTCATAGAGATAAGGGTGAAGCAAATGCCACACAGCCAGGAAGTGACCAAAAAGGGTATGGACCCAGTCTGGACCCAGAGCTGACACTCTCAAACCCTACCCTAAATTCTTCTCCTAGGAGAAGCATCTGCAATTCATGGCTGTTCCCAGGCTAGCTCCAACCCTCCTCCCATTTTCAGGTAACCAGGCCCAGGCAGTCACCACGGTCCCGGAGCAGCTGTGCCATCTGGTACTGGACCAAGCCACTGAGGCCATGGTAGCGGCAGAGAGAAGCCACAGCAGTGGCCACGTCCTTGTTTTCTGTGTACAGTGTGGCAAAGCGGAGCCCAGACATCCCGAAGTCCTGCAGGAAGAAGCACCCTAGGCAGTGGCCAGCCCTCCATGGAGGAAGCTGGTTCCACCCATCACCTTGCCCTCCCACCCTCCTGACACCCCCAAGAATAGCCAGGAACTCACCTTGCTGGTCGCCCACATCACATGGGTCCTCTGCGGGTCAGGTAGCCTGCAGAGAGCACACCGTGGGAATAAAGGCAACATAGAACCATGGGAGACCAAACGTGTTTGGTTGAACAAATGAAGAGATGGGTGATTGAATCTAGTTTTTGAATCTAGTTTTGGTTCCGGGACAAGCCCTGGTTTCATCTCTTTGAACCACCAATTCCCATGCGTCTTTTAGAGCAAAGGTCAGCAAATGACAGCCCATAGGCCAAACCTCACCTGCTGCCTGTTTTTGTAAATAAAGTTTTATTGGAACACAGCCATGCTCATTCATTTGTATCTATGGCAAAGTTGAGTGAGAGACCATATGACCTGGAAAGCCTAAAATATTTACCATCTGGCCTTTTGCAGGAAAAGTTTGCTTGCCCTTGATCGAGAGCCTAGCTCAAATGTCACTCCTCCAAGATACTTTCCCTAACCACTCCCCCTGGGACCAGGCCAATCAGGTACCCTAAGCAGATCCTCTCACAGCTCCCAGGACACTCCCTTTTAACATTCATTATGGCCATAAACTAATGGTTGGATGTGCATTTAGCTGCTCAAACTTTTTTCTGGCTAGAAATTAAAGTTCCACATAGAAAGGGCCTATGTCTTTCTTATTCACTATTGTATCTCCAGCACTTGGCACAGTGCCTGGCATAAAATCAATGCCCAATAATTTTTTTCTTTTCTATATATATTTTTTGAGATGGAGTTTTGCTCTTGTCACCCAGACTGGAGTGCAGTGGCGCGATCTCAGCTCACCACAACCTCTGCCTCCCGGATTCAAGCGATTCTCCTGCCTCAGCCACCCAAGTAGCTGGGATTACAGGCATGCACCACCACGCCTGGCTCATTTTTTATATTTTAGTAGAGACGGGGTTTCTCCATGTTGGTCAGGCTGGTCTTGAACTCCTGACCTCCGGTGATCTGCCCGCCTCAGCCTCCCAAAGTGCTGGGATTACAGGCTTGAGCCACCGCGCCTGGCCTAATCATTTTTTTTTAATGACTAATAATGGACGATCACTTTTTTTCTGTGCCTCACTTTCCTAATCCAAAAAATAAATGGGAGTAACAATTCATGCTGCATCTACTCCTCGGGGCTTTGTGAGGACGAGAAGAGAGGGCTAGTGGAAAGGAACTGGCAGGGCTGAGGTTCTGAACAAACAGCAGGACCCATCAGAACCCCTGAAGGTCCAATTCACTGACTGTACACGATTCGTTCCCCACTTTCTTTTTTTCCCCCATAAAAACAGAGCTCACTGTCTTGCTCAGGACGGTCTCAAACTCCTGGGCTCAAGCAATCCTCCCACCTTGGCCTTCCAAAGTGCTGGGATTATAAGCATGGGCCAGTGTGCCTTAAGGATGATCTGGTCCAAGTGTTCCAAAGGCATTTTGGCCACAAATGCTTTGCTTACACTAAACCAATTGAAAAAGCCCAACATTTAAATACCCAGAAGTGCCTGGCACATACAAGGGGCACCAGAGGTGCTAAGTGAATGAGTGAATGAACGAGTGAGTAAATTAATGAATGAATAAAACTGGAGCAACTCTGGAGGAAAAGCAAATGGCAAAGAGGCCAATTTCCCACCCACTCAGCCCTAACTTGAGGAATCCTGAAGCCCCTCCTTGGAGTTCTGAGAAGTTCCACAGAATAACTTGAAAATCACTGTTCTAGCTCAACCCTCCCCACTTCTCATTGGAGATCTGAGGACCTGTGGGATCAGCTGGGTGGAAGTGGAATTGCCCTGGGCAGGCCATGCCTCGTGGGCTGAGCCAGAAAGTGGCCAGGGCTCCGTGGGATAATGGGGACTGGGGGAGTGAGCTGTGTCGGGGAGCCTCACCTTTCCAGGCTTAGGACACTGTGGTACCCAACCGACTCCTCAAACACGGACAGCATGTAGACCTCATCCACAATCACATGCAGCTTGTGCCTGGAGTGAGGCCGGGGGTGGGGAGGAGAGACTTAGTGTGTAGGGCAAATGCGTCCCGCAGGGTGGGGAGGCAACGCCTCAGAAATCCAGAGAGGCCAGGGTCTAGCCCAGGGTTACCAAACTTGTTTTTACCAGAACACCCTTCTTTAGTCTATTTTTTCAAATAGAAAGCCAGAGGAGCTTTTGAAGCCCCGGAGGGGAGACAGAGAGCCCTCAGGCACTTCCATGGAGGGGCAGAGTCGTGCACAAGGGCTGGAGTCAGGGGCCCAGGTTCAAGTCTGGCTCCACCCCTCACTTGACCACTCTAAGGCTCAGTGAGCTGGGCGTGATAACAGCATCAGAACTTGAAAGGGTTGTTGTAAGGATTGTATGAGGCACATAAAGTGCTTAGCATAGTGCCTGGCCCCTGGAGTGTGCGATAATTGATAGCTATTGTTAGAAAGATTGAGAGAGAAAGAGGAATGGCATCCAACAAATCCCTGCTTCCCGGCTCCAAGAAGGGCCCACTGCAATGTGAAGAGGGTAGAAAAACCTGCACCAAACCTGCATCGGAACCCCAGGCTGCCCAGATGCTCTGTCGGGTGAGTGTGTGGTGCCTCACCTCTTGGCAAACACCAAGTACTCCTGCAGCTCTTCCGTGGAGTAGACGTCACCCAGAGGGTTCTGGGGATTGATGAGGATGAGGCCTTTGACCCTCACACCCTGAAACCATTCGTTGGAGCAGGAGACCCTCAGCTCTTCCCCAAGGCCAGAGCCACACAGGCCAAGGGGGCTGATCACTGGACGGCTCCCAGGGAGATTTGAGAGGGACGTTTTCATAACAGAACATGAAGCAAACAAGTGGGACACAATTACATCTGCAGCATCAGATAAAGGCAGAGGACAAGGCCCAGAGCGAAATATGCCCAAATGCCAGTAGGGCATCTTTGTTGGTAGAATTTTGGGCGGGTCTTTTGCACTTTCAAAATTCCGACAGTAAGCATGTACAGCTTTCATGACTGAGGTAAAAAAAAAAAAAAAGGAGATTTTTTAAAGGTAGACTGGAAAGGAACCACTGGAATACTGGTCTCTGCTCTTCTTTGGGGGTCCTCAGATCCCCTCAAAGTGGGCAAGATTGCCCCCTCAAAATACCAGGGAGACTTGTTAAACCACAGACTCCTTCACTCCATACTTGACCCACTGGATCAGAATCAGATGGATCAGGGATAGGGGTATCTTTAGTGATGCTCCCTGGTTGATTCTCTGTGAACTGAGGTCTGAGAGTCTGTTTTGAAAGTGAAGACCCTCCCTAGGCAGAGTCCTGCCTGACTGTGCTGCCACCCTACCTGCCTGCCCCCATCACTGGGTACCAACCCTACTCCCAGGAGGAGATCACAGCCACAAGAAGGGGGGTCCAGAGCCTGCTCAGACCCACCCACTCCCAGCCTTGGGTTTGATTTGATCCCCAGACCTCAGAGTAAGCTTCTCGAAGGGCTGTCTCCAGCTTCTCCACTGTGAGCTGAAAGGGGCGTGTGTCTAGCCCAGTGACCTGGAAAAAGACCCATCAGAGCCACCAGCCAAATTCAGTGACCACTGTCTCCCAACACACAGGAACTCTCGGGCCTCCCCTCCCCTGTAATCCCCAGCTCCTCAGAAAAGTCTCTAGAAAAGCAGGTGGGGTCCTTCCCTCTTACTGCCATCCACCTCCACCCCATTACATCAGGAACCCCCCTCATCACCCTTGGGTGCCATGCTTAGGTCTGCCCTCCCTGTTCCCACCTCGCTGTTTCTGGGTCTGGCTCTTGGCTTCTGCGTCAACCCCAGGGATCTCAGAGACTGGAACTCTGGAGCCACTGGGGAACCCAGGAATGTGCAGCCACACGGCAACAGAGGCTCCGTTCTCTACTCATTGCAACCCAGAGCCCTCAGCATGGACTTCCTCCCATGCCCACCATCAAATTCAAACTCAGGAAACTCTTGACCACAGGCAGGCCCAGGTTCTGCCTCGGAAGCCAAGACTCTTACCTCACTGTCCAGGTAGACATAGGCCAGTCGGACATTGCCATAGAGACAGACGTGCTGTGTGATGGCTCCATAGTAAGGGGTGGGGATCAGGAAAGCCTCTGGGGGCAGGAGCAGGTGAGGGCCTGTCACTTTCTAGCCAGAACACCCCAGACCCTCTATCCACTGTCCCCACTCTCTCACCAAGCCTTTAACTTCCTTGGGGACCATTTGGGGCATGCTTGCACTCTCAACTCCCAAAACACTTTGGAAAGCTCGGATCTACTGAGGTCAGCCCCTGATATGGTTTCTCTGTGTCCCCACCCAAATCTCATCTTGAATTATAGCTTCTGTAATTCCCAGGTGTCATGGGAGGTACCTGGAGGGAGGTAATTGAATCATGGGGGTTGGTCTTTCCTGTGCTGTTCTGGTGATAGGGAACAAGTCTCATGAGATCTGACGGTTTGATAAAGGGGAGTTCCCTACACAACCCCTCTTGCCTGCTGCCATGTAAGACGTGACTTTGCTCCTCATTTGCCTTCCACCATGATTGTGAGGCCTCCCCAACCATGTGCAACTGTGAATCCATTAAACCTCTTTCCTTTATAAATTACCCAGTCTCAACTATGTCTTTATCAGCAGCATGAGAACAGACTAATACAGCCCCTTTTCTAATCAGTAACAGCTAACATTTGCTAAGCACTTACGATGTGATGGGAACTACACTGAACATTTATTTGTATTTTACCTCATTTGCTACTGACAATTAGTCTCTGAAGCAGGTAACATTTATTATATTCTAACTTTATAGATGGGAAAACTGAAGCTTAGAGGGTTCCTGTTCTTGATTATTCTAGAATGGGCAGGAAATTACCTATTATTATAGGTAATGAACCTCTCTTTCATGGCTCATATCCTGGTTACTACCTCTCTTTGTGTAACTTTGACAAGTGAACCTCCTGTGTCTTAGTCTCCTCATCTATAAAATGGAGGTAACCATAGAACTGACCTCATTGAAATACTGTGAGGATTATATCAAATACTCTGCACAAAGCCTTAGGACAGTGCCTGGAACATAGTACTTGGTCAATAAATGTTACTAATATTCTTGTTATTAATTAAGCTACCATGAAGGGGTTTCTTTTCCTTGCAACTAATAACCAACTAATAACCCCTGACCATGACTGATGCTTAAAATGACCGGCTCTTGCAGCAGGCGCTGCTGGCTGGCTGCTCACGCAATAGCCATTCATACTTTCTTCCATGCTAAGAGAGCACCAGTTTTTTTCAGGTATGACCCACAATATGTCTAAGGAAGGTGGGCCTTCCCCTAGCCCTGGAGGACAAACCACATCTGGTTTAAGGTAACCCTGGTGTTCTTAGTCCCTTTTGCCAGGGACCATTTTGGAAATAGGTTTATGAGTGAATTCTGGTGAGGAAGATAGAAGGGGGCCTCTTCTGGGAAACACTACCCCCATCCCCATCTCCTGATAAAAAAGAAACAGGCAGGGCACAACCACATCCCTTTCTTCCTGCTCTAAGACACACTGTCATGCGAGGATGTGACAGCCACCTTATGAGCATGAAGCAGCCAAGGTCAGAGCAGAGAGAAAGCCCAGGACCCTGACACCACACTAACCTCCCCTGGAATTGCTGCTGACTCCCGGGCATCAGTCACTTATTCAAGCCCCCTGCAGTCTAGTATATTCTATTGTGCCCGGAAGCATACTACTGCAGCCCTTGAGGCCAGGCAACTGGGGACCCTGCAGGCAGGATGCAGCTGACAGTGCAGCACAGGCCTCAGAGCTCACTTACCCCCAACCTCGCACAGCACCGTGGCCAGAGCAGAGAACAGCGAGGCACCACCATTTAGAACCACCACCTAAGGGCGATGTATCCAAGGGATGAAGATGAACCAGTTCCAGGAGTCCTCGGTGACCCACAGCCTCCCAGGACAGCATAGAGGGAGTGCCAGGCCCTGCCTTGGTGCCACCTGGGGAAGGAAGGAGGGAGGGAGGGAAGGAGGGAGGGGGAGGGAGGGAGGGAGGGAGGGAGGGAGAGAGGGAGGGAGGGAGGGAGAGAGGGAGGGAGAGAGGAAGGAAGGAGGGTGGGAGGGAGGGAGAAAGGGGGAGGGAGGGAGAGAGGAAGGAAGGGAGGAAGGGGGAGGGAGGGAGGGGGGAGGGAGAGAGGGAAGAAAAGGAGGAAGGGAGGGACGGAAGAAGGGAGGAAGGGAGGGAGGAAGGAAGGAAGGAGGGAGGGAGCAGGGGGAGGGAGGGAGGGAGGGAGGGAGGGAGGGAGAGAGAGAGGGAAGAAAAGGAGGAAGGGAGGGACGGAAGAAGGGAGGAAGGGAGGGAGGAAGGAAGGAAGGAGGGAGGGAGCAGGGGGAGGGAGGGAGGAAGGAAGGAAGGAAGGAAAGAAGGAAGGAAGGAAGGAAGGAAGGAAGGAAGGAAGGAAGGAAGGAAGGAAGGAAGGAAGGACAGATGGACGAGATGGGAAGGGGAGGCAGGAGAACAGGAAGGAGCAGTGGCGGGATACTCACATTCTCTGGTCTGAGGGGTACTGGGCTTTTGCAGTAGAAAGTCAGGAACTTGGCTACTTCCTCCCGGAGGCTAAAGATAAGACAAACAGGCAGTGCGTGCCAGACGGTCCTCAACCCACGGTGCATCGCAAAGCTCCTCCGGTGACTCCTCACGCGGCTGCCATCACTCTTCCCTAATTTCCCACGATGGGGGTGTGGGTGTATCTGTCTCACTCCTTAGCACCCACCTTCCCCTCCCCGGTACCCACACGCACAGCAGTAGTTCCAGGATACCCCTCTAATCAAGAGACTCAGGGATTATCAAAAGTAACACTCTCTATGGAGATCTAGCTAATTATACTAATAAACATGATTACTACAACATTCATTATTAGCACCATTATTACTATTATTATTTTGAGATGGAGTTTCACTCTTGTCACCCAGGCTAGAGTGCAATGATGTGATCTTGGATCACTACAGCTCCGCCTCCCGGGTTCAAGCGATTCTCCTGTCTCAGCCTCCCGAGTAGCTGGGATTACAGGCATGTGCCACCATACCCGGCTAATTTTGTATTTTCAGTAAAGATGGAGTTTCACCATGTTGGTCGGGCTGGTCTTGAACTCCCGACCTCAGGTGGTCCGCCTGCCTCAGCCTCCCAAAGGGCTGGGATTATAGGGGTGAGCCACCACACCCATCCTTATCACCATTATTATTGCTCATATTTTTTGAGCATTTACCTTATACAAATGTTATTTGGGAAATGTTTACTTAATCTTCATAATAATCCCATGATATGGCTATCACTGTCATTATTATTATTATTCCCATTGTACAGGCAAAGAAACTACAAACTGAGGTTTAAAGGAACAATTAAGTCACTTGCTGGGAAGAGGCAGAGTCCACACTCAAGCCCAGTGGTCCGACTCAGGGCTACCATCCTCGTTACTACACTAGAAGAACCCGGGCTTTGCAATCAGTCTTGGGATCCAGTCCTGCTCAGCCGCTGAGCCCTAAGAACAGTGTCCTCGAGCAAGTGCTCAACAAGCGCAAGCTATTATTAGTGTTATTTACCACGTCTACTCTTAGCATTAGGAAAAGGCCCCAGCCAGCTCCCCCGACAGCAATTCTGGCTTCTCTAAAGCCACCAACAAAGCAGGGACAAACACTCCTCGCCTGAAGGCCCTCCCGTGCTATAGCCCCAGGTTCCCAGAAACCAGACTAGAAAGCTCCTGTGCTGAGGTGGGACTGACAGGAGACCCCATGGCCGCTAGGTTTCCAGGACTAGGTCCTCAGCCTGCCACGACTGATGTTTGGGGCCGGGTCATACTTCTTCGTGGGGGCTGTCCTGTGCATCGCAGGATCTTTAGCAGCATCCCTGACCTCTACACACTCAATGCCAGGAGCACCTGACTGCCCAGTTATAACCACCAAAAATGTCTTCGGACAGTGCCACACATCCCCAGGGGGGCAAACTGGCCCTATGGCAACTACTTACAACAGATGTCCCCTCCAGTCGGGGTACTGCAGCAGAGACGGCTCCACCCACTGCATGTCGCTCTGACTCAGCTGGGGAGAGATGGGAAGAGCAAGGCTGAAGGCTGGCACTGCTACCCACATCCAAGGCACAGGGCAGGTAAAGCCGAATGCTTGTTCCGCTCATCACAGAAACCGGAGGAGGGACAGACAGTGACAGCTTTCTCATACCCATGTTGCAGGTGAGGAAACTGCGGTCCAAAAAAGTAATGTCACTCAGCCAAGGTCACAGACCTAGCAAATAGCAGAGCTGAGACAAAAACCCAAAATTTTTGACTCCTAGTCTGGTGCTCTTTTTTTTTTTTTTTTTTTTGGAGACAGAGTCTCACTCTGTCACCCAGGCTGGAGTGCAGTGGTGCAATCTCAGCTCACTGCAACCTCCGCCTCCCGGGTTCAAGCAATTCTCCTGTCTCAGCCTCTTAAGTAGCTGGGATTACAGGTGCATGCCACCGCACCTGGCTAATTTTTATATTTTTAGTAGAGACAGGGTTTCACCATGTTGGTCAGGCTGGTCTCAAACACCTGACCTCGTGATCCACCTGCCTCGGCTTCCCAAATTGCTGGGATTACAGGCGTGAGCCACCGCACACAGGCCTGGCACTCTTTATACAACACTGCCACCTAAAAAAACTGGAGGGGTGGGTTTGCAGAAGTTGTAACCAGAGACCATGCTGGCCAACACTTCTGTGGGGCAAGAGAAGACATTGAGAGCTGGCACCTCAATCTGGGCTCCGACTTCTAGAGGGACCTAGGCCACTGTCTTCCTGTAAGCTCAGCCCAACCTCACACTTCGGAAAATGCAGCAGTTTCTAGAGCACCCGCTCCATGACCGGGTGCTAGGTTGGTAACTCCTAGTATTACAGGTACTGTCTCAAAGAAGGACCAGCGCAGGGGCCTTGCACGCTAGGACCAAAAGGAAGAAAGGGAATCAGCCTCTTCTGCATAACTGGATCCAGCCTTCGTGTCTCTCCTTTCCTCCCTTACAGCCACACTCTCCAACATGGTAGCCACTGGCCACATGTGGCTAATGAACATTTTTAATGTGGTTCATCTGAATTAAGACACACTGGATTTTGAAGACTTGGCAGGAAAAACATATGTAAAATATATCATTAATAATTTTTATACTGATGATATGCTGAAATGATCATACTTTGAATATATTGGGCTAAATAAAATATGTTCTTAAAATTAATTTTTACCAGACATCTTTTTTTTAATAGAAAATTTAAATTGATATATGTGGCTCACCTTTTATTTCAGTGCTTAGCTGCCTTAGAAGGAGGAGCTGGCTCTAAGTAAAACAGGCCTTTAAAATCGATTCCCTGGCCGGGCATGGTGGGTCACACCTGTAATCCTAGCACTTTGGGAGGCCAAGGTGTGCGGATCATGAGGTGAGGAGTTCGAGACCAGCATGAACAAAATGGTGAAACCCCATTTCTACTAAAAATACAAAAATTAGCCAGGCATGGGGATGTGTGCCTGTAATCCCAGCTACTGAAGAGGCTGTGGCAGGAGAATTGCTTAAACCCAGGAGGAGGGGGTTGCAGTGAGCTGAGATCATAACACTGCACTCCAGCCTGGGCAACAGAGCGAGACGCCACCTCAAATACATACATACATACAAAAAATCTATTCCCTATGACCCCCTCCCCTTGGAGTTTTGATTTCTCACCTTTGGAAATATGTCCTTTTGGAAGCATTGCTGTCTCTACAAACCCAAACCCTGTCACTGCCGCCTTGGGAAACACATTTATTAGACATTGTTGGTGATTTGCTAAGATGGCTCACCCCAGCTCAAGAAATTGGATTATAAAATTTTCAGAAATTTTGCAAGCTATATTAAAAACAGCCACTTTAAAAGAGTAAATTGATATAAACTGACAATGAAATTAACTATCTTACAAACAAAGGCGATAAGCACTCAATATCATCACCTCCTGATTTTCTAGGACCTTTTACTATCTATGCTTTTGAGATCAGTTCTGTCTATGTGTCTGTATGGGGAAAATATTATATAAAGTGTGCCCGTGAGCCTCTCTTCTAACTCTGCCTGCAGTGATATCACATCAATAGCTTGATATTGGTCATAGTGGGAGTATTTACACTATGGAAATTGGCAAAGCTACACATCAGGGCTTTTCTTTGTCCCCCTGAAGTGCTAATTGCTAGATACCTACACCACAAAGCACAGAGTGTTTCCATCTGAGATCAGGGGACCTAACACAGCAGGAGGGACTGAGTGAAAAAGAGTCTGCAGAGACGAAGAAATAGGACTCGAGTGGGGAAGTAATTCACCTAAGATCACATAGAAAACTGTGCGAAAGTAGGCCTGGAACCCAGGTCTCCTGAATCCCAGGCCAGGGCCACTGGCTGAAGCAGCAGGCTCTTGTTGGGAAAGCATTCCAGGGAAGACAGCTCCTCAGAGCTGGTGAGGCCCCTCAGAGGCGTCCTAGGACTTACCCGCCTGGACAGCAGGTCAAAGCAGAGTTTGTTCTCACTGGTGCCGAGGTTAATGATGCCCTGGAGATGAGAGGTACAGAGGCAGGGTTAGCATGGCAGAGGGGTGCCAATGAAAGGCCCCAGGAGCCCATGGTGGCAGCAAGGCAAAGTGGGAGCTCTCTGCAACCCCACCCTTTCAACCACCCCTCCCTGCTTTTGCTCAGGTGTGCCTTCTGCTCAGCTGCCTGATCCCATCTTCCCCTTTCTAAAGCTCTGTCCAAATGCCATGTCCTCCAGGAAGTCCCCCTATAACCCCACCTGGAAAGGATCTTTCCTTCTTCTGGATCCCACAGTGCTTGATCTATCCCCTTTAAAGCACTGGTCAGTTTCCACCCCAGGTCACAGGAACTGATGTGCACACCGTATCTCCCCTGCTGAGTGTAAGCTCCCTGAAGAACAGATGTGTGCTAAAGATACCATTGTTTCTCTCGAGGGCCTTAGTGGAACTCAATACACATTTACAGAATGAAAGAATACAGATGGTGCATTGGCAGTGTGGGAGGAACAGAAGCAAAGGTGGATGCAGATCAAGAAGAGGTTCCTTTGCCAATGCAAATACTCCCCCAGGAGACCCTGAACATCACACAGTACCTTGATCCCCACCCCACAGGCATTTATTGTCATACAAAAGACAGGCAGGCCTAACCCAAGCTCTCCCTTACAGAGGCCCTGAGGAGACTCAGTGTAGGGCTCATGCACAGCTAACTCCTGACCCCTGAGTTACTGCAAGGGGAGTAAAGGAAGGAAGACAAAAAAGTAAAACCTGAATGAGCTCAGACTATAACGAAATAAAACGCAGTGCTGCTGCATGCCCTGGGAAGCAAGCTGGGAAGCTCCTTCAACACAACCAATCTGTCCACACACCCTGGCAGCTCTACCTTCAAAACACATGACAGTCCAACCATGACTCACCCTCCCCTGCTGGGACCCTGGTATGAGCCACCATCATCATTTCTTGTCTATATGATTGCAACAGCTTCCCTCTCTGTGTGTGTGTGTGTGTGTGTGTGTGTGTGTACTCTCTTAACTGCCAAGTCAAATCTCCATACAGCAGTCCAAGTCATCTTTCAAAACCCAAAATCAGACCACACTGCTCCTCCTTTGAATACCTCCTATTCCACTTTGTCCAAAATCAGAAGGCTCACCAGGTCCTGTGGGGCCCTACACGATCTGTCTCCTCCACCTTCCCATAACCTTTCTGACCCCATCACCTGCCCATCTTGTTTTTGGCTTTATTCCAGCTCCAGTTGCCCGTCTGCTGTTTCTTGAACTCATCAAACACCATCCAACCCTGGAGCCTTTGCACGGGCTGTTCCCTCTGCTGGGAATGCTCTTCCCCTAGATGACTGCAAGGCTCACTTGCTGTGGTGGGCAGCCTCTAAGGCCCTCATCTCGTGGTATTCACACCCCTTGAGTGTGTGCTGGGCCTAGCGACATACTTCTAATGAACAGAATAGGCAGATATGATGGGCTGTCACTTCTGAAGTTAGGTTATAAAGAGTCTGTGGCTTCCATCTTGAGTACCCAGGACCTCTCACTCTCTCTTGAATCACTCGCCCTGAGAGAAGCCAGCTACCAGGCCATAGGCAGTTCTGTGAAGAAGCCCACATGGAGAAGAACTGAAGCCTGCCAATACGCGTAAGAGTGTCATTGGAAGCAGAGCCTCCCACCCACTCCCCAGCCCCAAGTCAACCTTTCAGATTAAACCACAGCCCCAGCTTCATGGCACCTTCACAAAAGATCTTGGGGCTGAGCATAGTGGATTGGCCAGGCGCAGTGGCTCATGCCCATAATCCCAGCACTTTGGCAGGTCAAGGTAGGTGGATCACCTGAGGTCAGGAGTTCGAGACCAACACGGCAAAACCCCCCCTCTACTAAAAATATAAAAATTAGCTGGGCATGGTGGTGCACACCTGTAATCCCAGCTACTCGGGAGGCTGAGGCAGGAGAATCAATTGAACCTGGTAGGCAGAGGTTGCAATGAGCCTAGATTGTGCCAGCTGGGAGACACAGTGAGACTCCATCTCTCTCTCTCTCTCTCTCTCACACACACACACACACACACACACACACAGATCTTGAGACTGAGGCATCTACCAGGATTCCTGAAACCGAGAAATTGTGAACTCTTGTTTTAAGCTGCTAGATTTGAGGCCATTTGTCATGTAACAATAGATAACGAATGGCTGGGCTCACGCCTGTAATACCAGCACTTTGGGATTAGGTTATAGAGTCTGTGGCAGGCAGATCACGAGGTCAGGAGTACAAGACCATCCTGGCCAACATGGTGAAACTTCATCTCTACTATAAATACAAAAATTAGCTGGGTGTGATGGCATGCATTTGTAATCCCAGCTACTCGGGAGGCTGAGGCAGGAGAATCGCCTGAACTCGGGAGGCAGAGATTGCAGGGAGCCATGATATCAACACTGCACTCCATGCACTCCAGCCTGAGTGACAGAGCAAGACTCCATCTCAAAAAAAAAAGAAAAAATAAAACTAATACAATCCCCCACTTTTTCAAGGTTTCTGCTCAAATGTTCATCATATTAAAATAGCCTTCTATGACCTCCTTCTGCTAATTAGCAGCATCACCAGCCCACCTATCATTCTCTGTCGTCCTTACCCTGGTTTATTTTTCTCCACAGTACTTACCACCCCATACAGTATATATATATTTTTTTCTCTGTTCATTTGTTAACTAGAATATGAACTCCATGAGGATAAGAACTTTGCTTCTGTTCACATCTATGTGGTAGATGCTCGACAGATAAAGATTATTAAAGGTTTGTTTGTAACAGCTTTCTGACTTCTGAAGGTATTACGAGAATAGCTTATATATGGGACAGAAAATATTAATAATAGCAGCGATCATTTATTGAGTAGCACTGTGCTAAAAACTTCATCTGCTTGCTCTCATTTAATCTTGTGTCTTATTATTATTATATTATTCCATTTCATTTTAGTTTAGTTTAGTTTTTTGTTATTTTGAGACAGGGTCTCACTTCGTTGCCCAGGCTAGAATGCAACAGCGTGATCTTGGTTCATTATAACCTCAACCTCCCAGGCCAAAGCAATCCTTTCACTTCAGCTTCCCAGGTAGCTGGGACCACAGGTACACGCTACCACACCCAGCTAATTCTTTTATTTTTATTTTTTGTAGAGATGGGGTCTTACTATGTTTTTCTGGCTGGTCTCAAGCACTCCCTCTGCCTCAGCCTCCCAAAGTGCTGGGATTATAGGTGTGAGCCACCATACCTGGCCTTATTATCTCATTTTAGAGATAACTTAAGATTCAAGGGGGTTTAATAACTAGCTCAGCAACACACAAACTATAAGTAAAATAGTTGCAACCTGAACCTTAGTTCTGCCCTAGCTCTAAAGTTGGACAGTTGACAGGTCGTGGGTCATAATCCAAAGAAGAATATCGTATGGTCCTTGAATTTCTCCCTCACAAATCAAGGTCCCCATATATTCTAAATGGGCCATTTTCTGATCCAGGCAATACACCAGGGCCTCTCTAAGCTACATCAGAAGCCCTCTTGGAGGTCAGAGAACCATAACTGCAACCTCACAATAGCAGGCTGGATGCTGCCATATCGGTGAAGGTAGGGGACCCGGCCCTGCAGTTCCCTCTTGGGTCCCAGCGGGTGGGGAGCTCCACTTACACTGGGGTTCTTGTCCTCATCATACTCATCCATGTGGTAGGTCCTGTAGCCCTCCTCAGCCAAATCCCAGAACCATTTAATCATTCTTCCTCTAGAGGACAGGTAGGAGGTATCAGAGGAGAGCATGACAGGATCACCCACTCCAGGGAGCTTCTGGTCCAGTTTTCTAGAGCATTCTCCTTCCAGATCATCCCCATGGCTACGATCCATGTCCTGAGTGCAGGTGGGGCCCAGACAGGTGGTGGGAGCCCTGAAGTTCTTTTGAGGAAGGGCGAACATCTGCAAAAAAGAGAAAATGCACAGAAATCAAGGGATTTGCATAGCACCAAGCATCAGAAATGAGTCAGGGTCATGGGAGTCCCCTTTCTCTTATCTGCTCCTTCCTTTAGGTTTATGGACTCAAATCCTGTGTCCCTTAGTTATAACCATATGTACAATGATGCCAACAAGAAAAATCTGTTCAGGACCTAGTATGTGCCAGGGACTGCACTTGCCACGTTGATGTGACTTTCATGTATTGCTGCTTTAGCGTCTTCTACTAATGAAAAGATTTTCAGTCGCTGCAGCCCAAGGGGTCATCAACATTCTTTTTCCATTCTTGCTCACCTCAATTACAAAATGCCAGGTTAAAATTTCCTGAGTTAAAGCAGAGCATTGCCTGGGGACCTTATGGTGTAAAAGGCAGGATGAGATGATGTGGTGGTCAGCTGCAGATGGGGGAGGGAGTGGGAACTGAGGGGAGGGAAGAATGGCGGTCTCCACAAATGCAGGCACCCCAGGCAAAGCTTCAGGACCTGCCTCTTCAGTCTTTAAGAAAGAAGGTGTGGACACCAAGCAGAGGGTGGTCTACTCAAGCCCGCGGGTGTGAACGCCTAGACCAAAGTTCAATAAATCATGAGTCATTATGTCATAACTCCTGGCCAGTTTTCCCAGTCCTGATGCTCAACGCAAGCTCTGACACACCGGGCCGACTAGAAACTCAGGGGGCACCCGCAGTAAAATTTTGCTCCTCAAAGTCTTCTTGGGGATGCTCTCTAAATTGGCTGAGCTCTCCCGAGAGCGCTCACCTCAGGCTCTCCCGACAGCCCAGATCTGAGGAAAGGCAGCAGGGTGGGCGAAGGCCGGGGTGGGGGCAAAACCTGGGGCCTGGGGACGGCGGGGTTCGAGCCTCCGGGCGTCCAGCGGGACGGCGGCGAATCCACAGCCAGTCACCCGCGCGGGATCAGGCCTTGTAATCCTGCAAGTGGGGCGGCTACTGTGCACCAAGAACCGAAACCACCTTCTACAAGGCAGAGGACGCCTCGCGAGAGACGGCTCCAGGTTTCCAGGCGGAAGAAGTGTGATCGGTGCCAAGGACTTTGAGATGGAAGGGCAGAGGCTTTTGCAAAGTGCACAGAGGGAGGCCTGAACAGCTTCCACCTCTGCAAAGTGGGGGATTCACCTACTTGGTGGAGCTGGAGGAGGCAGCAGCCCCAGCACGCGTCACGTGTCGGTTTCCTCCGCCTGGAAACGCCCTTTGGCGCTTTACGCACGGGTGAGGACAGCGCCACCCTGCGCTCAGCGCGCCCAGACGAGGGGACCGAGGGCCGTCCGCCACGGGCCGGGCTTCCGGGACTGTTCAGTGCGCAGGTCGTCCCCTCGCCACTCAGGCCGGGGTCCTTCTCGGCTGGGCCTGCGCTTTAGGGGTCGCACACGGGGTCGCCCCGCGGGACCGGGAAACGGGAAAGGGGCGGAACGCCTGTTCCCACTCCCACTCTGGGTGGCCTGAGCTTGCAGGCTGCCTCCAGGCCGGGTCAGCCACCTCCCTCTGCCTTCTGGCCTTGGTTCTCCGGTTTTCAAAGGAGGTGAGCACCACAGAAATGTCTCGGTAAAAGAATAGTTGGCTGCGGCCTACACAAAGGGCTTTTTAAATTGGGGTGCGAGCATCCTTACGGCCTTTCATTGCAGCTTGTGATTTCTGCCCCTTTCATTTATAGAGAATATTCTTTAGCCCTCATAGGTTCTTAGTTGGCGGGGACTCCTGTTACAAAAGACAAATTAACAAGAGGAAAAACGGAAGTTTACTGACATGTATATTTCATTTATACATGAGACATACGGAGGGAATGAGTTGTTCTCAAAGAGATGACTTTGAATTACAGATTTTACAGCGTCTTCAACAAAGAACAGTAATTTTTTTTAAGTTACAAGCAAAGAAATGGGACTTTGACTCTCATCAGGAAGAACTTATGAGGCTAAAAAAAAAAAAAAGGACAAATAAAAGCCATTTGTTACTGTAAGTTCCTCTGGTACCATCTCCGGGCCGTAGGAGTCTGAAGTAGTCTTTGTTCTCCTAGGAAGACAGAGGGACAAGATAACCTTTTGTCTTTGTAAACCTATGTCCTACTTTTTGGTAAATAGGGCCAGGGTAGAGAGTTTTCCTGAATCTGCTGCTTCTTGTCTTTAGCACAAGAATCCTTCATGTTTTGGGAAGGCATGTCCTGGTCTCCAACACGTGCCTGCAATATTTGTTCAACTCTGGCTAGGCGTGAACATGCCTGTAATCCCAACATATTGAGAGGACAAGGTCGAAGCATCCCTTTAACCCAGGAATTTGAAACCAGCCTGGGCAACATAGGGAGACCATGTCTCTCCTGAAAATAGGTTTGTTTTGTTTTTTGTTTTTTTGAGAAAGAATCTCGCTCTGTCACCTGGGCTGGAGTGCAGTGGTGTGATCTCCACTCACTGCAGCCTCTGCCTCCTGGGTTCAAGCGATTCTTCTGCCTCAGCTTCCTAAGTGGCTGGGACTACAGGCACGTACCACCACTCCCAACTAATTTTTGTATTTTTAGTAGAGATGGGGTTTCACCATATTGGCCAGGCTGGTCTCGAACTCCAGACCTCAGGTGATCCGCCCACCCCTGCCTCCCTAAGTACTGGGATTATAAGTGTGAGCCACCACGCCTGGCCAAAAGGTTTTTGTAAATTAGCTAGATGTGTTAGCATGTGCCTGTGGTTTCAGCTACTTAGGAGGCTGAGGTAGGAGATTTGCTTGAGCCCAGGAAGTAGAGGCTGCAGTGAGCCATGATCTTGCACCATACTCCCACCTGGGGTTGGTGAGACTTGGTCTAAAAATATATAATTTTTAAAAGTATTTTTCAAACTCTGACCTAAGCTCTACATATTCTGGCAATGGGTGCAGTGGGCACCAAGGCCCCAGTAGAGCTGCAGTCTCTGAGGTGCCTTGAATAGGAAAGTCTTCTTTCCCCATGAAAGGAAATAAGCAGACTCTCTCAGTACAGGTATGGCTGGGAACACATGGCTGTCTTCTGGCCATTCCACTTCTTGTCTTCACTTTTACCTTGCCACTAGCTAACACTGTGACCTTGAGCAACTCTCATGACGTTTCTGGCCCTCAGTGTTTTCTTCCATCACTTTCTTCCATCACAAAGATAAGGAAGCCATCACTTTCCTCTGTTTAAATCTTCTACGTAATTCAGATCTCAGTGAATGCCTGTTTTGTGCCAGGTCTCCGTAAAGTGCGAAGATATGGTAATGAGCAGGACAAACCGAGGCCTGCATGGTCCACTGGGAAGGCAGACTTACAATGTGCAGACTATTGAAAAAAGACTATTTACTGGGTACCATGGAAGCACACAGCGGGGGGATTTAACTTCACCAAACAACAAACGCAGGCATTTGTCCCATGCGGAAAACACACACACATTACGTTAAATGCAGATTGACTAAAGATCAATTAAAAGATCAGCAGACTGAGTAAAACAGCAAGAATCTAGCATATGGCGTGTGCAAAAGACACGCTTTAAATATAAAAACAAATGGTCAGAGGTAAAAATGGGGAAAAAAATACCAAGCAAATAATCACCATAAAAAAAAAGTTGATGTGTTCATATTGGTATCTGACATAGCAGGCTTCAAGACAAAAAGAATTACCAAAAATAAAACGGAGCATTTTATCATAATAAAATGATGAATTCATCAGGATGACAATCTTAAAAGTTTATGCTCTTAATAACAAAGCTTCAAGATACAGCAAGCAGAAACTGGCAGAATAAAAAAGAGAAAATACAAGTCCATAATCATAACTGGGAAATTGTTTACCACTCTCTCTCAGTGATAGATTAAACGGATCAAAGACACTAAGGATCAGAAGTTTTGGACATTATGCAAAAATTTAATCTAATTGACATTTATAGAACAACATCCCCAATACCACAGAATATACTTCTTTTCAAGTGCAAATGAAACATTAAGATAGGCCACATGGCTACAAACAAATCTGGCCATAAACAGTCTTAATACATTTCAAAGGATTGAAACCACAGACTACGTTGAAACCACGATGAAATTAAAGTAGAAATCATTAACAAAGAAAGCTGAACAATCCCCACATATTTGGAAACTTAAGTTATATTTGCTAAGCAAACCTTTGATTTAAAAAACGAAATCACAAGTGAAAGTAGAAAATATTTTGAATGGTTAAAAACCAGCAGATCAAAGTTTATGGAATGTAGCTAAAATAATGCTAAGTGAGAAATGAATAGTTTTAAATGTATATATCTGAAACCAACTTAAAGCAAATGATCTACGCTTCCACATTAAGAAGCTAGAAAAAAAAGAGACCAGATTAAACCCAAAGTAAATAGAATTAAAGATAAGAGCAGAAATGAAATAGAAGCAATAGAGGAAAAATCAATGAAACCGAAAGTTGTTTCTTTGAAAAGTTTGATACAGTTGAGAAACAGTTAGATCCACTGATCAAAAAAAACCTCACTTTGTTGCAGAATTTTGCTCCTCACTTCATCTAAAACCAGGTTCTTGTAACATGACCAGGAAGGACTAGGAACATGGACACATTGAAGGGTGAGGGGAACAGAATTTATTGGGTGTAAAGGAAAAAAGAAAAATACTCTCAGCAAAGCGAGAGGGGTCCTGCTGACAGGTCCCCACTCACAGATTGAATCCCAGACCACCATACAGGAGCTGAAGAAGCCAGACTCCTCCCTGCTGAGCTTACCTGTGGCTTCCCTGGGCTCCGCCTTATTCTCCCAGTGCACAAATGGGTTGGAGATTCTTGGGAGACCCTCCCCCTTATCTGTCTCCTGCATGTATCAATTTCAGTATCAGAAAATGAAAAGAAGATACAACTAAAGATCCTATATATATATATTAAAGGCTAACAGAATATGTATAACCAATTTTATGTCAGTAAATATAGATGAAATAAGCTTTATTGAAAGGCACAAAAAACTAAAACTGACACAAAATATAGAAAACTTGAACTATCACGGAAATTGAATTTATAAGTAAAAGGCTTCTCACAAAAAAAAAAAAAAAAAAAAAAAAAAAAAAAACGAACAAAAAACTCTAGGCCCTTATGGCTTTACAGCTGAATTCAACCAAACATTTAAAGATTGAAGATGTTTTTTCAGACACAAACTTCTAGAAAGTTGAGGAAGGAACAGTTTCCCAAACAGCTATGAAACCAGTATTAATCATGATACTGAAACTAACAATGTATTACAAAAAAATTATAGAATGATGTCCCTCTTGAATGCAAAATTCTTAAAATATCAAACCAAAGTCAATGGTATATAAAAGGACGATGCATCATGGCCAAACAGGGTTTATTGCAGCAATGGGAATGTTAAAATGCTTTAACATTTTTAAAAATCAATGTAACTTACCACATTGATAATCAAGAGAAAAATTATCTCTGTAGATGCAGATTAAAAACATCTAACAACACTGAACCCTCATAGGTGGTAAAACTCCCAGCAAACTTGTAATGGAAGGAAACTTTATTAGATAAAGGGTAGAACGAAAAATACAGTAACATTATACTCAAGAGAGGAAGATTGCACTCAATGCTGCTAAGATTGAGAACAAGGCAAGCTATCCTCCCTCACCACTTTTAGTCAACATTATACTAGAGGTTCCTTTCAAAGAGCTGTATCGGCTGGGCGCGGTGGCTCAGCCCAGCACTTTAGGAGGCTGAGGCGGGCAGATCACTTGAGTGCTGGGATTACAAGCATGAGCCTCACACCCAGCAAGAGACTTTAAAAGCCTTTTGGAAAGGTAAAAGTGGAACAAACTCTAGTATTTGGATGGAGAGTTTGAGACCAGCCTGGCCAACATGGTGAAACCCTGTCTCTACTAAAAATAAAAAAATCAGCTGGGCGTGGTGGCGCATGCCTGTAATCCCAGCTACTCGGGAGGCTGAGGCAGGAGAATCGCTTGAACCAAGGAGTCAGAGGTTGCAGTGAGCCGAGATCGTGCCACTGCACTCTAGCCTGGTGACAGAGCAAGATTCCATCTCTAAATACATAAATAAATAAAAATAAGATACACAAATTAGCTGGGCATGGTGGCACATGCCTGTAGTCCCAGCTGCTTGGGAGGCAGAGGCAGGAGAATCACTGAACCAGGAGGCAGAGGTTGCGGTGAGCTGAGACTGCGCCATTGCAATCCAGTCTGGGCAACAGAGTGAGACTCTGTCTCCCCGACCCCGAAAAAAAGAGCTGTATCATGCACATGAAGAGCTACCTTCAAGGAAACTTTTGCCTCCATTAGCATTATACCAACTCAGTGGGTTTGAATCAATGCCAAGACCTCTGACACAGTATCTGAAAATGTGTCTCGAACCTTTGACCCCTATAAATATATACAT